CGTAATGTTTTCAATTCGAATTATACGCGAATATGAACAGTTCCAAGTCAATCTTTTCTGTACTTAAAAATGAAGCGAAAAAAAACTGTGAAGTAATATTTTTCCGATTTTTCCGAGATTTTCAGTGAAACAAAAATGATTAAGATTGAAACGCTTCATCATATTTTTCGACAGATCTCTTTTATTTAATTTCAATACCATCCTGTTACATATATCTCTTTGTCATTTAATGAACGACCATTACATCTGGTGTGTGTGTGGGGGGGGGGGGTATGTATGTGTGTGTGACGAATAAACACCGTTCGTCCTCCTCGGCAAACACGCGTTACGTGCGTTAGCAGCTGAATAGTTAGTCCCCATTAGTTGCATCATTTCCACAAGAGCATCGGCATCGTCATCGTTTAAAGGTGGCTACAGCAACATTACAAGCTGCGTCGCGTAGGTTTCGCGGAAATTCATTTTCGGAGCCATCTGCTCCGAAATCCGAATGGGATTTCGTCATACCGAAGCTCCGATTGTTATTTCGCGTGCGGGATCTCCTTTCATCTTTTCGTTAACCACATCCTCAATGTACCTATTCAACGACTCGACAACACAGATTCGCGATTCGTAAATCTGCTCCAAGGACCGACCCGTCGGCGTCGGGTCGGTTCAGAAAATGGTAGAGGTACATTTTTAAAAGGGGTTCTCTTAATCTTATGTTAGATTCCTAAACGTTATCGAGAGATCGCCCTATTGATATTTTCGGGGTTTATGATATATTCTTTGTAAAAGGCACACTACAGAAGATGCGAAAAGAGAGAAGAGGAAAATAGAATTTCCAATAAATATTTGGACACGTTCGATTGAAATTGCGTCGGGTTCTGTTCTCGGTATCATAGCTACGCGAGTAAGGATTCATATCGCAATCATCGTGAATGAAATCGTTTTTCCACGTAAATTTTCAACAAAGAAAAAACAAAAAACTGAACTCAGAACGTGGAAAAATTTCGAGATTCGAAAAATTCAGGGAAAATTCGGCGAAACTTTCGATATCGGATCGGAGAGGTCGAGACGACCTGAATTTAAGCGAGCTTTCAACTCGCGTACGAGTGCGAACTCGACAGTCGGATTCTAATCGAAATCCCGAGTATAGATCCTAATCGTCGACCAGAGAGCTCGCATGATCCGAGGCTCGACCGGAGAGGCTTGTCTCCTGCTCGACGTGCATTTGCTAACGCGCGTGTTTTCGGTCAACTAAGATCAGATAGAGTAGAAGAGCTTACGTAAGGATGTAACGCGAGTTCTCGTTGCCATTGATGCCCTCTCGCGGGATAGAATGTCAAGAACTATCGTGATCCGTTTACATGAGATTAGCTCGATTCTTATTGCAGAATTCTGTTGGTACCGAGTAATTACCCAATGATCGTGAATTTCTAAAACATGTAAATAAACCTTAAATATTTCCTAGATGTGTCTCCATTGCAGTGCTGCAATGTTAAAAAAAATTAGTGTAGAAAAATCAACCAATAAAAAGTTTCAAATTACGGATACTATATTTTTACACTTTTATTACATTTATTACACATATTTTATAATTTTTTAAATATATTCTCTTAGATAGACATTACTATTTTACATATATAAAAAATAGTAACATAATAAATAATAGTAATAACACTACAATAGTATAGTATTTTATATATTTATTATTTAATATTTTCTATATACAAAAAATAATTCTAACACATTATTACTGTATAGACTAAATTTCTTTTTCTCAAAAATAAAACTTGCTTTGTTCACGAAGACAGATTTATCGTTTTATTGAACTTAATTGGTTTACTGGAGTCTAATAAACCAAATATTCGACTTAAAACACTTATGGCAGCTGTTTTCTTGGCCTCCTGGATTGTTTGACCAAATCCTATAAAAATACATAAAAAATTTATTAGATTAAATATATATAACGAGAAAAATACAATAAAATCACATCTCATTACATTTGCCCAGTGTTGCATTTACCTGAACCTTGAAATTCTTTATCACAATATAATGCTACATGATATACTCTTTCTAGTGTATTTTTTCCCGCTTGTGCGATAAGCCTTGGTTCGGCGGGTGACCTGTTTTGTTTCCGTAGAACATCATTTAAAAGTTCAACTGGATGAGCTGGATTCCATATTTCTGTTAGATCCTTTTCAGCCAGTATAACAATCAAGAAGTCTCTAACAAAATTTGCTGTATGATTTACGTCTACACTTTCCGCAAGCGCCGCGACAAGTGCGAAAAACGTATCAGCTAAAGTCTTTTGAGCTACTGGATGTTCCTGAAGGATTAATTAAAAAATAGGAAATTAAAACAATTTGAATATTACCTCCAATTTGAGAAATAAATAAAATTGGTTACTGCATTGAAAAATATACAGTGGATACAAAAATGTGAATAAAATAATGAATTTATAATTGTATATTAGATATTTCTATACTTACTTCCGTTAAAATAATATCTTTTGTTCCAATATGAAAAGCTGCTTTAGCTATAATTTCTTCAGAAAGAAGATAGTCATGCAATGAACTAAAAAATACATGATTAATTCTTAATTATTCTCTCTCTATAATATATACATTTTTTTCTTATATCATGTCTTTTTATAGTACATACATTATGACATCCTCAGATGCTTGTGGTAAAACTTGGACTAAATAAGTCTGTACAATTTCTGACGTAAGCTGCTCGCCTTTTCTAACTAATTCAGTATTATCTTGTATAGCAAGTATAGGATTTTCTATTCCCATTTCTTTCTGCCTCTGCTCCTCTTGAATAAGGTACGATCTATTAGTAAAGGCTTGCTCCAATTTTTCCATATTGAAACTTTCAGAGAGTCGTTCATTAAAAGCATAAACCTCTGCAGATCTGTTCCAATCGAGAAAGGTACTGCGTTTCGGCTCTGGCTGCTCACCTAGCGACCTTTTGCGTTTGGTTAATTCTTTTAGCGTCGGTGCCATCCATCTTTTAATGTATCTTTGTCCTGGAAAAAAAAAGGCAACATTTGTCAACTACAGATCAAGCAAAATGTCATACAAAATTTATACAAGCGATTTATATATTATATTATAGAGAATTTATATAATTATTTTTATATAATTATAAATTCTTTATTCTTTAAAATATTATCGCATCGTGTTATGACTAACCTTCGTAATTTACAGATCGTACTCCTTTACTTAGGATGATAGTTTTAACGCACGAACGTAAGACGTTCATGTTTGAATAATAATTCACTTATCCAAATTGCTTTTGAAAAATCACTTATCAACAAACTGTCGGCAAATATCGAAATAATTTATAGCCGGATAGTTTGCCGATCTTTATATTAGGTTATAAACAATCGCACAATTAATATGCAGTACAATTACTCCTTGTTTCATACTTTGGCCACAATATTTGCTGAGAGGGCGTTAGCATACGGCAAATTAATTTTCTCTTTCCTATTACCTATTTTATATTTATTCGATCTCACACTACGAAGTCAGCAATTTTTTTAGCAATCTCATTCGTAACAATTCAATAATAATATATCAAAAAGAGAAGCTGAGAGCGGCCATCTTGGCCTTTTTTATGAGTCACGTGGGTGACGTGTCAATGGCTGCGTTCAGCAGACTCAACAGTTTTACAACCGTTTTGTGATTCTTCGCTGAGATAGGACTATTCCTTTAAATCTAAAAGTTTAATCCAATCAGCGCAACGAATCATAAAACGGTTGCAAAACTGCTGAGTCTGCTAAATGCAGCCAATGGTCGCGTTCAGCAGACTCAAATGTTGCAGAGCGGATCCGTGAGTGCTCGCTGCTATTGGTGTATTCTTCTACATCATCCAATAGCAGTGAGCGCTTGCAGATCCGCTCTGCAACAGTTGAGTCTGCTGAACGCGACCAATGGGTGCATTCAGTACTACAACCGTTCACTGAGCGCTCAGTGAGCTCTTGCATCTGATTGGCATATTCCGTTAGGACTAAAAATATAGATCAAACAGATACAAGAGCTCATTATAGTACTGAATGCACCCAACGTTTATCCATTATTCCATTTATCTGCCTCTCACTTTACTCGTCTTTCTACCATGACAAAATGAGACGCGGTAACCAATGAATATGTTAAGAGCTGTAAGCTTATTGGCTACTGCATCACATTTTGCCGCGTTTTTGCGTTCAGTGTGCAGGAGCCATAAGGCTGCCAACTGTGAAACGTTAAAAACATGGGGCGGTATTCATAGTCTGTTTTTATTTTAAAACTGTCTTAAATAATGTCTTAAGCCCGATGTCCACGATGCTAGAAATCAGTCCGAGATCTCGGACAGAGAAAAAGTTAACAAATCACATTTGAACAATTTGATCACATGACCATTGCTATTGGTCAATTCCTTCTTCATCCGAGATCTCGGACTGATTTCTAGCATCGTGGACACAAGGCTTTAAGATGCTAATACAGTTCTCGGATTGACTTATGACACCTTGAGATTGTACTTAAGACAGTCTTAAATCTTCTATAGAAAGAGAAACATAAGAGTGTATTAGTCCGGATCTACAATAGGTGTTTTAAGCCTTAAGCTCTGATCCTCATACGAGCAACAGCGCTTTGACACCGAACGCTGATTGGTGAAAAGCCGGTTGTGGGGGTAAAATTTATCTTCATCATTCGTTTTTCACCAATCAACGTTAAGTGTCAAAGCGCTGTTGCCCGTATGAGGATCCGGGCTTAAGGTAAATGTCCCTATTTGTGACCATGACCCTATTTGTGACTACTCGTGGACCGTGGACTTTTATTAATTAATCAGAAGTTTTAAGTAATTTATCTTCGCAAAGGGTATTTATCACGTTTAACGATTAGTTAGTCATGGTTTGATATATGGTTTCAGTGATATTTGACTAACAAATATTCATGAAAATGTGAAATAAGGTGCTCGTGTCTCCATCAGTGGCAGATTGAGCACATGTTTGTCGCCATGTTAGTAGACGGCGTTTGTTATGGAACAGTCACATTTTTGTTATGTCGATTGTCGTCCGGGATAAAACGTTGAAGAATATAGTTTTTTCGTAAAAGTGTCAGTGAATACTTAATAAATATTGTGCTATGCGTGGATTCTAAAAAAGGTTAGTAATTTTGAACGTATAGATGAATGTGACAAATAGGTACAACAAAACACGCATGTTTCCATTTATGACTGTCTCAAGAAAATTAATCATAACATTAAATATCGCTGTTTATGGACAAGTGTGAGTTGATTTTAATTATTTTTTAGTATTTTTTATTCTTATTAACTCATGCGACTATCTTACATGGTCACAAATAGGGACATTTACCTTAACCTCCTATGAATTTGAGTCGAGAAGCAAGAGCTAATAATTAATAAAGAAGGAAGAAGACAGCCTGTATATGATGTATATAGTGTGTATGTAATGTATTTAATTTCCCAAAAACAATGAGTATTTGTGCAGTAAAAGATTGCACTAATTCGTTCCGTAAAACCAAAATGAAAGGCCTCACAATCAAATATTTTACGTTTCCAAAAAACGCGGAATTTATTGAGGCGTGGCGTAGAGTATGCAGAGATGGAATAAATGTGAAGTATGGTAAGATGACATTAATTTACATTAATATATTAGGAAATTAATTGCTCAAATATATAAGATATATTTTATTTTTTAGCGAGGATATGCTCGAAACATTTCGAATCCTGGTGCTATGAGAAGTCAGCACAACAGATTGCATTAAACTATTCACCTTTAAGAGGACGGAAATTACGAGCGGACGCAATCCCCACACTGTATTTATTTTCGGAACCGCATATGGCTGCAGAGCCAACACAATCCGTTGATTGTAAACCAAAGGAAATTCTTGAAGCAATGCAGGAGAATATCCAACTGATAAGTTCACAAATAGTATTGGATGGTGCTGAAGTAGCATCACCTAAAGCTCTTAATGTAAAAGTAGAGAATACTGATTATGCACAACAACTAAAGAGAACTCCAGTATTCAATAGTAATACCAAAGAAGCAGCAGCATCATCTTGTTCCATCAACTATCCTACAACAATGTAAAGTATCAACCCTATTAAAGAAACCTTATACAGAGTGTCCCATAATTATTAACACAGCATTCGTGTACAGATATAGTGGACTAGACTAAATCAAAATGTCTTCTATCATTTTGCAATTTTTGCAATTTTCTTTTTGTTACTCAATGAGCAGAATAATTAAAATTGATGCATAAAACAACTTTAAGATATCTTTAAAAGTTCCTTAGGAAACCTCTAACATGTTTCATAAAAAATCTCGGAAAGATATTTTAAAGTTGTCTTATATGCATTGATTTTATTCGCTTATTTGGCAATATTTAGAAATTAATATCTCGTTAACTATTGCAAAAATTGCAAAATATAATATTCGAATATAATATCACATATTGAGAATTCATGTTAATTTCATTATATACTTGCAGAGAAAATCTACAAATAGAGCTTAATAAAATTAAGAAGGCATTTACGCTGTTCATTGAGAGGAGAGAAAAAGAAAAGATTATGGAAAAAAAAGAAAGGAAAAAACAAATGGAGCAACATACGCGGGAAGTTCTCAGTCAAATTTTTACACCGGGTCAGATCAAAGTCTTGATGAATCGAACAAAAAAACGTGTGGTTTGGTTATCAGAAGATATTGCAAACGCAATATCGTTACGTTGTGTAAGCCCAAAAGCATACCGGTACTTGCGTAATGTACTGAAATATCCGCTTCCTGGCCTGTCAACACTCCGCAGGTGGGTAAATAATATTAATATATAAATCAGGATGTACTAACTTCAAATTTAGATTGCATGAATGGTTGCGTTCAGCAGAAAAAACAGCGTCGCAACTATTGTAAAATTCTTGAATAATAAACAAGATTGGTTTATACATGTAGATCCAATGAGGAATTAAGGACAAGTCCAATCATATTAAAGAATTTTACAACAGTTCCAAAGCTGTTTTCTCTGCTGAATGCAGCCAATGTTAAAGGTAAAATTATCAAAGCACGAGAGAAATTGTTTGTGGTAACTTTTGATGAAATTGATCTTAATAATAAAATAGCTATTGACAAGAAAACAGAACAAGTCATAAGACCACACAAGACTTGTCAGTGTGTAAAGGTGGAGTCCTATGAGGCATATTTGTCGCGTATCGCATAACCAATCGTAAAACATGAAACCGCAACAACGGATCGCTTCTGATTGGTTACGCGGTTACGCAATACGCGATAAATACACCTCATGGGACTCTAGCCTGAGGAGTCTGTTTTCTAACTGGAGCAATCAATATATTGTTATGATCAGTATGAATAAATGAAAATCATATGAATAAAGAAATTATATTTAATATTATAGCACGCTTGCATGATACATATTTTACAGTTGTTGCAATTGTGAATGACATGAGTTCTAGTAATATCATGTTATAAATATCTGGATTGTGCACCTAAAAAGACCTACTTTGAACATCATTGCAGATACACCGCATCTATTAAAACTGCTGAGAAATCATTTCCTCGATTAAGGATTCAGCAGAGAGGAACGGTTAATTTACGAGGATCCCATCCAGAAACTTTTGGCGATCAATGTAAAGATGTCAGAGTGGCGTTCGTGATACCACAGTATCAACAATAATAAGATTGGAAATAAGATCGTTTATGTTAGAAACATTACTTTAAGTACGAAGCGCCACTACGGTCTGAATGTTAAGATGTTGAACTATTATATATATATTTATTTAAATGAATTAATTTCAGAAACTATAATTGCGTGTCGAAGATCATCCCGTCTGCTATTTGTCGTTATTCGTGATTTCTTCGGAAGAAAAGCAACTTTTAAAATCACTCGATGAATTAGACGTCACAGACACAATTGAGGATGAAAGCTTTAAAGTACATGGCTGGGCTACGTAGTATCCGATTAAAAAATCGATGTATCGATTAAAAAATAAATATCAAAACTTCGGAATCGTAACCCATCTCTTGCCAGCTGTCGACAACATGGACTGACTGCAATTCATTTCGCGAGGGAATTGCCTGTATCCATCCGATGAACTTAACTACAAACTGCAAGTATGAATGCAGAATTCACACGGTACCACGGGTCCAATCTTTGTAAAGATGCATTTATTTTTAAAACGTCAACAAAAATTAAGGCATTAAAATCCATCCAATAGAAATACCTAAAGAGATTATACTATGTTTAGGCCCGGTTGTTCCACCTTTTGCTAAATTTTATCTGTGTTGGGTATATAAGAAGCAAGATTACCCATTCACATGCACGGATTGCCAGATTTATCTAATAAGTAAAGTTTACCAAAAAGTGGAACAACCAGCTCTTAGTACGAACGTGAAATATATTCGAGTTCGAGAAATAAATCGGGTGATTGCCATAAGAAACAAAATCAGAAATAAACGAAAACTGTCAAAAGTTATGAATAAAAAAATTGAATGGCATTTGCACATTTTACATTTCCATGCTTTTTTATTTATACGTAACCTTCCTCTTAAAATTTCCCAACATTTTCTTCCATTATCAAATATGAAACTGTTCCTCAACAATTTTTATACTTAATAAATTAATACAATATATTAATACATGACGTACAATTGTATGTACAAAGCGTTTTATTTTTTACACATTTACATGAAAACTTTAAAATACTGATCGACTTTAAAATGTCACTTTGTGTTGAACATTTTGTCCTTTAATATTTTTAAATATAAATACTCAAAATTTCTTATTATCTATTTGTAAACAAAAATTAACTTACATCTCATATTCACTTTTCCATCATTGTAAAATATCAGAAACTATCCTATCTTACAAGATGTCAGAACAATTTTTTTTTTCATTCGAAAGGTAAAAATATTTACAACCGAAGTGCACAGGTCTGTTAGTCTTGAAATGGCCGCAAAAACCGAATTTTACCTCTGTGAAGCTGGTCCCTCATTTTCAAAATTTTGAAAAAATAAGCAGAGTTCTGGTTGTCCCCCGAAGAGTTCTAGAGTTTTCTATTAATTTTAAAAAGAGTTTTGTCGATTTTATATATATATAAGGCGATGAAAACACCATTTGAAGTTTCGGGGGGGCCAAGTTTACGATTTTGAAACTCTCTCTCTCTCTCTCTCTCTTTGAAGGGCTATAACTTCTTTACCGTTCATTTTAGCTTCATGATCCATATAGAGGACAATCGATAGAACTCTTTAGGAGGCAACCAGAAAATACCGAATTTAAAAAAAAAAAATTTTTTTTCAGATTAAAATTAAGATTTCAACCTATCAGGAACCGTGTATGCTGGTGTAATTGGTATCTGGGATAGGTTGAAATCTTAATATTTATTCCTGTTCCTAATATTTGATATATTGTACGCAGGCCTATAAAACGACATTTATGTCATCAAATGGAAAGCACCCTGTATCGCTTGCTGGAAAGCACCAATAATGGTCGCGTTCAACAGACTCAACTGTTGTGGAGCAGATCCGTGAGCACTCGCTGTTATTGGTATATTCTTCTAGATCATCCAATAACAGCGAGCGCTCATGGATCCACTCCACAATAGTTGAGTCTGCTGAACGCGACCATTGTAGCCACAGATATTTCCGATCGCTAACACATCCACTAGAGGGGTAACACACCCAAAAGGGACAATTAAGCAATTGAACCTAATATAATTATTTTATGTATTATTTATGCAATTATTTTATTTTTATCGTATCTCGATATATACATATGTACAATCGATAACTCGCACGGATATATGGAAATTCGTATGAGTTTCCGGAAACGTGCAACAGGTGGCGACAGTGCAATTTACAGTACGAACGAGTTTTTTTCTTTTTTTTTTCTTCTCGACGGCCTTACGGCCTCTGGACCGAAAGTGGTCGGATCGGGATGCTGCATAAACGCGGCAACTGTGTTAGCGGTAATTGACAGCTGCCGAAAAGCGACGGCGGCAGCGGCGTCGACAACTCGGCGCGCGCGCGCGCACGCGATTTCGCGGATCGGCGCAAAAATCGGCGCGAATACGAGCGAGGGTGCGCGAGAAAATTTCGAATGGATCATCGAGAACATCGAATACTTTAGTGTTAAATCTGCGCATCTCGCAGGGACATCTCCCGCGGCTGCGCCCACAGCATCGAATCGGATCGGATCGCATCGGCATCGCGATCATCATGCAATCCGCTGTCCGTCCCGTCCACCGAGAGAAAGAGAGAGAGGCCTTTTTTTAAAGGTCCGCCCGTGTTTACAGTTCCACGCTCGCGCGTGTCGAGAGGTTTGTTCCTTTTGGCTGCCCACTCTCGTTCACCTTCTGTATTTTAAACGCGCTGCGACAAAACACATCTCGCGGCGTCGCGTCAGTATCGGTTGTCTCCAAAAGAATCGATCCTTTGCTTTGTCTTACATTTAAGTCGAAATCTTTCAACTACCATCTTTTACTTTTTCTTTTTTAATTATAAATTACGCCGAGCATGTTGCGGAATGGAATTCAAGTAAGTCACCTAGTGATTCGCGTTCATGAACACGAATTGAGATATTGGTGACTTAATTCGAACGCCGAAACGAGAATGAAGGGGATTGTGTGTGAGCGTCAGAAGCCGAAATAAATAACGGAACATTCGCAGTTCCATTCCAAGTGTATATTTCACTTCAATCTTCGAGACTCAATAAGACTCCCAACTGTCTGAATTTTTTTAAAGAATCAAAAAATTGGAGCAAATAGTAAAATTAAACCGGAAACAAACATTTTATGTTTTCATTTTATATTTTTGTATGTTTATTTTATATTTTATTTTTGCGCGTCTCCACTTTCCTATCCTTTGTCTATTATATATATTTGAATTTTGTCGATTACAGAAATAAAATGTGTTCGTAATCGAGGAAGATATAATATAGAGGTCTTTCTTTGCGAGAGCCTTCGGATTTGTCTCTTTGGTCAATTCGAAAAGAAAAAGATTATAGGCGGACGAAAGTGTAGCTGAAAAGAGAACAAGCCTGCCGTCTCGGACGACAGTAAAACGGTGTACAAGTGAGACGGAAATTTGTTGGAGGACGCGAATTCTCGGTCACAAGAGTGGTTCCCTCTGCAGATATGTGCTCGACGGCGCGAGGATGTGCTCCTTTCTATCATCGTGTTAAACGACTCTCGGTAAGTTTCATTCGGCATGCTCTCGCGATTGGACATCATCTTTAGTCACACGTGAGTCTTTCAGAAACCAAACTGGTCGACTCCGTGAAACAGAAAGCGTAGAAAATTGATCAAGTTGTTAACTGGGAGGTTGTAATTGAATGCTCCAAATTTAGAAAAAGTAGAGCTGTTCATAATTTAGCTGCCAGAGGACTCATACGAATCTCGAATCTTATAAATCGATTGTCTTTTTTGCTATTTTACTGTGCTTAAAAATAATTTGCCAGAAATGAATGATGATATATGTTCTCGTTTTAATTTCTTCGCAAAGTTTAAATTTGTCTTTGTTTTAATACTTATGGAAAATTAATTAAAATTAGTCGGAGCTTATGTATCAGAACTGTCGTTTGATGTTCGAAGCTACTAAAAACACAAAATTATATGCAATACTGAAATACATTCTTAGTCAGTATGCATCAATTAAAAAAATATACATATATAATATTACATGTATGTATGTATGTATGACAAAAATTCTAGTTCTTTAAATCTTGTCTAACTTTAAGTAATATTAATATTTTTGAGGCTTCCACGGGCATTTTCTATACAGAAACTATGCGATTCGCGGGTTATCTCCGTGCCCAAATCCATTCTTAGAATAGATTTGAAGTAATATTTGTAATATTCTTAGAATGGATTTAAGTAATTTTTGTGGATTTTTAAACGTGATCTTTTTTTAAGATTCCCGTTAGAAAAGTGATCCTTTCAATATTTATTCTAATCGCGTTGGCTTTAATCACACACACTTTAACCGTCATCCATCGCATTTGCCTATGTAAATATCTTACAATTAGCTTAGATCTTTTCAACTCAAGCTGAATTTTTATGCTCTTATCAATATCTCTTTCCCGTCTCTTCTCGTCATCGATTTCTGTGCGTAATATGGAAAATCACACAGAGGCAACTGAACCTCTTGCTTGAAATCGATCCTTAGTCTGTACTGAAAAAGGACAAAAGATTCACAAAAGTAAATGCAATGCGCGTTGTCGCGTAAAATCTTGTGATCGAATGAAATTTGATGATGCCGATGGGATTGTATCAGGTGTCGCGTTCGCGCTGTTGGCGGGTGAAAGAAAATGAGAGAGAGAGAGAGAGAGAGAGAGAGAGAGAGAGAGAGAGAGAGAGAGAGAGAATATGTAAATTTCGTATAGAGCGGAGGGACAAGATTCGCGCGCGGATTCTCGCGAGAGACCGTAGGAAGGACCGAAAGACGAGAGAGAGGAAGAGAGAACGAGAGTGAAGTAGAAAAAAAGCGCTATACGGGTCGGTAAAGGGATGTACGAGGCACGGAGGGAGGACATCATGGTGAAGCGTGTGCGGGGAGAAGAAGAGAAGTGAAAGAGAGGAGAGAGAGAAAGAGAGAAAGAGAGAGAAGGAGAGAAAGATCGGTGTATAAGGTATAGGCTTCAGTTTGGGTAGCCCCTGGAATGTGGCGATCGCGGGGCGGACGACCGCGTGCACGTCGCTTGCACCACGCCGCGTGTATGCGTGTATATTCTCAATGCCGCGTGTATTACGGGGCTCAACGCTGCGCCAAGATTGCACCGAGTCCCGAGCCCCGAGCTCCTCCGTCTGCTCGATTTTTCACCCTCTGAATCGTCACGCGCACGCCAAGGCTGTCGCTCAGTTCCACAAAAGCAAATCAAAAGCAAAGAAAGAGCCGAACACAGACATTTATTTGAGGATGCACGGAAATACGTAAAGAAACGTATACGAAAAATTACAGCTACCCTACGATAATAAAAAGGAGAATAGGCGCGTAAGTGGTTCACGTTTAATTTGTACAAACAGAGGTCAATTTTCATGATCCCAATTGACTTCAAAATGTCTTTATAGGACGTCCGGGAAATGCTGCGTCCAATTAACAATAGTGAAGACGTGACTCCGATTCCGAATACGTTCTCACATGTGTCACGTGTCACACACAGTATCTGTACTGTTGTATGTGTAATGCTTTTTTCTGAGAACTCTTGGTGGATCTAAATTTTCCTTCGCGCGTGACTTGAAATATAATTATACGGATTAGAAATTTTCTACTTTTATTTTTTTTTCTTTTAAATATATATATTATATATACGTCTTTTAAGGATTGGTATTTTATAAGTTATGCTATAGAGTTGTGTGCGAAAAGATTTAGCAAATAGAAGCGATGGTAGACGCGAGAACACGGCATGAACAAATTGCCGTAAATTCTGTCATTTCTTTTTATGAATTGTAGTTTTA